GAACTAAGATGTTTCCAATTTTTGATGTAATAAAGAAGCTGAATTATATATCACTGAGCATAAATCTTTGACTTTATTTACAGTTAACTAAATGGAAGTACTAGCTAGTACTAGTACTAGTACCTTTTTTTGGTAACAGCATTATTGTGATGCAGTTTGCACACCATAAAATTTACCCTTTCAAACTGTCTAATTCAATGGTTTTTACTATATTCAGAGTTGTGTGACCATCACCATTATCTAATTTAAAACATTTCATCACCCTCAAAAGAAACCTCCCCATTTCTCCCAGCCTCTGAAAAGGCAATAATTTTTTAAGTATCTTAAAACGTATTGCAGATTACTTTCCAGACAGGCTATCAAATTTACATTCCTATCAACCAAACACCAGTTTTTCCATATTTTGCCCAGAATAAAATACTACCATTTTTAAAAGCCTAATAAGCAGAAATTAGCAACTCGCTGCCATTTATATTAGATTTTTGTATTGCTAATGAGTAAAAATTTATATATCCATTGATTTATTATTTTTTGGCTTTTTTGTCCTTTTATAAATTACCCATTCCCTTTATTAGGGGCTAAAATCCAATTAATTATCAGTCTAAATAAAACATTCCTTAGAAAAACAATCTGGTGTCCAGAAAAATCACGAGAAATTACAAAAATAAACAACTCTTTGGGGTTAACTATACCATGGATCCTCATCATTAGCACAGGTAAATTAAAGTTTGCTGTAATCATACACGAAATAAAGATCACATGTCTCTTTTCAAAGAATACACTATTTCTGGGTTCCTTTGTTATTACAGAGTAAGCCTGTCTCAGTGGCACTTCAGAACAAAGCATCCCATCCTACAGGGATAGAAAGCCCATTGTTGTACAGCACTTGTGGCTGCTGGTTAATGAGCCAGTCACTGGTAAATTAGAATGAAAAAAAAAAAAAATAACCCGACCTATATCATGTAGTAGTAGTTGTTGCTTGCACAAAACCATAAACCAAACCAGCTAGCTGCAAATGACCTGCGCTACGTTAATGGGCAGAAAGCACCCAACCTTACAATTAGAATCGATAAAAACTGACTGCAAAACAGAGGCAAAAAAAAGTAAGCCAAGGCATCTCTGCGAGTCTTCCTGGCCACCAAAAGCAATAAGATCTCTCCAAAGACTATCATCAGAAACATTTGTTCAATAGATTTCATCTGAAATTTGATGTGTAGATTTTTCTTCACAGAACAAATGTCTTATTTTAAATAGGCCCTTCCTTCCATTTCCTATTTCCATTGTTTTTACTCAAATTCTAATCTTTTAAATCAGAACTGCTGTATACCTTTAATGACTTTTTGGGTCATTTTTTTAATGGGCAGGGGCGGAGAGAGGAAATAAATTTGCAAACTTTTCAATTGTGAAAACAACAGATTCCATAATATTCACTAGAACATAGTATGGTTAACTCAGACTAGTGACTGTAAAAGCAGATCCCAACAGAGATCTCTTAACAAAAAAAACAGGTTATGGAGTGTTCTAAATCAATATTCCTAATTTAAAGACCACCTAGAGTCACAGAATGTTAAGAACTGGAAAGGAGCTCAGCAGTCATCATCTAGCCCTCCTTGCACCATGTGCTCTTCACAGAAGGAGTAGGAGCTCAGAGATCACACATGTTTCCGGGGCTCCTTTGTCCTCCCCTTAACTCTTAGGTATGAGTCCAACCAGAAAGTTACTAGAACTTGTTCTTTTCTGATCCTGTCAGGATACACTCTTTCTGACTCATACTCTTCCCCCAGATCAGTCACTTACAGGTGGTGCTGAGGCTAATGTAAATACAGGTGACTGGTAAGGAAGGCCTGACATTTCCGTTATTATACTGGAGAAAATAACTTATCAGTGACCAGAAGCAATACAGGCTGGAAGATCTCCGATACGATCACTATAGTTTTCCTGGAACCTGAAAATAAGAGTCAAAGTCTTGAAATGCTCTAATAACAAGGCATCCACATCTACCCCTATCTTTCATGTTTTTTTTTAACTTAAGATGTCAGAGGGCACATTCACAGATACAGAAAAACCTCAACTGAGAAGATAAAACATTGAAAATTAAGTGCTACCTACCTGAATTGATGATTTGTTTGTACTCCTATCCAGTCTTCTAATACCTCAAAATGTATAAAACACCTCAGTTAATGATGTATCATTAATCAAAACAATGAAGGAAAAATAAAATATTCCAGATTTGACTTCTCTCTGACTTGAGCCAACAATCCTCCTGCATTTCCTAAATAAAGTCTGAGAACTAAACAGTCACTCTTTGACATTCCTAAGCAAAATGTCAACACCCATATTCAATGTGATGTTACTGGGATGTGAAGTCTTTTATTTTGAACCTCAACCCACGTTCCAAGGAAACTCATTTCCTAAAACAATCCTGTGAACTCCAATGCCAAACTACCCTGGCCTCTAGAGACTTAACACTATCAGTCATTCCGAACCCTTCACAGGTAAGAGTCCTCTCCATAAACGGCATACCCAATTGCTCTGTCGCTCTCAAGAGTCACACCCTCATTTTGCTACATCTCTCCCCCACCTACTTAGAGCCTGATGGGAATGTAACAAGAGGAACTGCCTTCTGGATACTCAGCAGGCAGGCTATCAGGAAACGCCAGAGATAAAGACCAATCACAACAATGCTTTAAGAGACTCAGAGTAGGAAAACGGGATCTGAGTGAGATCCTAAACATAGTATATTAGTAAACTTAAGTATACACTATCGGAGGCCAGCAATTAAAGGTAACTAACATTTAAAGATGTCTCAGAACAGCTCCTTCTGTGCAGACTTCAACCCCACATTCAACTTCAAAAATCTCTCAGGCAAGAGGCACGTGTAAAGTCCTCTCCTCAAAAGTAACAACATACATGCTACTGATCTATTTGCATTAATAAACCCTTGGTTTATCAGGATTCATTTAAATCCTGATAAAGTTTTTATATATCGGTCAGTCGCACTTTGATACAAACTGGTTTAATGAGGATCAACTTTTTTTCCAAGGAGTACAATTCCAATGTAGAAAATGAAGTTTGATTAAATGGTCTGGGGTTAAGATTGGGATGGGGAGGCTGAGAGTAAAGTAAGAAAAGGTCATTTTGGAAAATGCTCCAGAATGAGGTGTTAACAGTTAAGGGTTTTTGACAAAGAGCAACAGGAGGGAGGCAGGTACCTGGGGATCAAGGAAGAAGCGCTACCAAAAATAAATGAAAAATGTAGGAAAAGTTTATCATCAAGTTTCCCTAAGATTTTATAAGCAACAAATGCCAGAGACTGCTGTGACACCTTTATCCTGGGTCTCCTCTCAACTGTCAGAGGATTGATGTAATAGCTGGGTATTAGGTGTTCCTGTCAATGAGCTTGGAATTGTTTGCTTTGCTCTAGCTCACTGGAAAATCTTCTTCAGACAAAGGATAACAAATGTTTTGGTTTTAAAACCAAGAATTTCAAAAGGAAAACTATTTTTAGGAAAAACTTTTTGGGGGGAACGATACACTTTGCTCTGTTTCAGGCTTATTTAGAAATGCTTTATTTCATTCCACTGTAGAAGCCCTCCTACACTTCGGTCCCTTGGAATTTGATCAGTAATATGTCCCTAGTTATGAATAAATTCAAACTATGCTTGGGAGATCCTCTGAAGACCTAAGACCTCTTTAGGTGATGGTAACTGAGAGGAGAAGCAGTTCCATTTTCAAAGAGCATGACACAAACAGATTCTACAGCATATTTATAGCTTTCCAGCTCAGGAAAACTCACACGCACTATTAATCACCCTCAATTTCCCTGCCTATAAACGTGGCTAAAGAATGCCTCCCTAATTCCTCGAACAGGAAGGAGTTGCCATCGTAAGTGGCTTTGAAACGGGTGAAATCTCACAATCACTATTTCCTAACTGTTCTTCAAAAGCGTATAATTTTCTTTCAAGTTACAGCTACGGAGTCTCTCACTGACGCTCAGACTTCACAAAGTTCCCTGAGTGGGAGAAAGGATGTCTATCTAACATGCTAATTCAGATCGCTCAAGCTTTCCTTATCACACCTATGGATACCTATTCAAGATCTCACGCCTCACGCATCTAGCCCAAAAATAACTACTAAAATCTCTGGAGACAGTCTTCAAACCACATTTGAGCAGACGAGAGAAGGAGGTGATGGCCCTAAAAGGGCACAGCTTCCCCTGGCTAAAGTGAGGCGCCCTCGCTCACTGCGAACAGCTCAAGATGTTACTAGAAACTCCTGCCAGATGTGCGGGGCGAGGATGCGGGAGCAGGTAAAGCAGGGAAGACAACTGGAAGGCAGAACTGCGGTGCCAAAGCCGCAGGCGGGATGGAGTGGAAGGAGGTGAGGCAGAATTAGGCAGGTACAGGAAGGAGCCAGTGCAGCGAAGAAAACAGGGGAGGCGAGAGATAGAGCCCTAGAGAAACCTGACGAATTCGCGCCTCGGAGGGTTTCCGAGGGTCCAGTTCTCTCACCAGAAAGCCGCGTTCAGCCCCAGGCACCACAGGGCGCTCCTGGCTGGCCGCTCCCACACCAGGGCTGCCTGCACCCGGCTCAGCAGAGGCTCGTAAGGCCCCAGCACCTCCACCAGGGCCCGCTGCGCCGCCTCAACCTGCTGGTCCCGCTCCCAGGAGCCTGACACAGTACGGCGGCCCCTGAAAGTCGGCCCCGAAGTAGGGCCTGGGGCCACGGCCACCCCCTCTGCCTCCGCCATCTCCCCCCGGCAGCCACAACATCCGGGGCCACGGCCCGATAGTCACAATAACACCAACTGCGCAGGTGCGCGATTTGGCGGGGGAGGCCGCTTCCCTCCACTGCGCGCCTGCGCGCAGGCTGTAGCTCGCGTCCACTCAGAGGAAAGAACACTGCGTCGAAGTACGTCCCTGGTGCCGAGCCCAATCCGGAGAGGCGCACGCGCAGTCTGAGTGACTGAAGCCAAAGGAATAAGGACGTGCCATCCCAAGAACTCAGTTTTCATTGGAGCGGAGAAAGTTCGTGGGCGGAACGGGTTGTTTGGCGCCTGCGTCGCGCGGCTAGCTGCCTGGCTAGCGGCGGCTTTCCTGGCGGGAGCGGTTGCAACGCCCGTGCTTCAGGAGCGATGCCGAGGGAGATCATCACCCTACAATTGGGCCAGTGCGGCAATCAGAGTGAGCGAACCTCCGGCCCCTCCACTAGCCAGGTTCCTTAGATTCTGTGGGATCTCGCTGCGGGATCCTGGACTCCATCTACCCTTACCAGGATCGTAGCTCTCGGAAAGGCGGGTCATTCCTGACCCAGTGTCCAGTTGCCCAACCCCAAGGGGCCCTTCCCTGCCCAGTCGCTGGCATACAGCCCTTTCCTCTGACACGGGAGACTCCCGAGGCTTGATTTCCTATCCCTGGACCCAGGCGCTCAGTCCCCCAGCTCCTAGTTGGAACCTGCCCGGACCCATATATCCTCTTTCTCCCCCGCCCGCCCCTCCCCCCAGTTGGGTTCGAGTTCTGGAAACAGCTGTGCGCCGAGCATGGTATCAGCCCCGAGGGCATCGTGGAGGAGTTCGCCACCGAGGGCACTGACCGCAAGGACGTCTTTTTCTATCAGGTGCCCCCAGCGACTTGACCAGGGCCGGCAGCGGCCCAGGGGGCCCGAAGGGAAGGGCAGCGGCTTGGTACTGGGAGACCAACTGGGCAGAGGAGCCAGGGCGCTGGCTTGAAGAGGGAGGGCAGGCAGGAGCCAGAGTTGGGAGGACTGGGAGGGCCCTAGCTGACTGGGCTCCCTCCTTGACAGGCAGACGATGAGCACTACATCCCTAGGGCTGTGCTGCTGGACCTGGAGCCCCGGGTGATCCACTCCATCCTCAATTCCCCCTATGCCAAGCTCTACAACCCAGAGAACATCTACCTGTCAGAGCATGGAGGAGGAGCTGGCAACAACTGGGCCAGCGGATTCTCCCAGGTCATTTGCTATTCCCTTGCAGAATAACACCCTTCCTGTGTGGGAGCAGGCCCTAGGACTTCCCAGAGAGACGAAACTAGTTGGAGGATGTATGAATGAAAAGACAGAGAGAGAGAGACATGGCTGAGGAGAGTTCTTTTTTCTAAGCTAACTAGGTAACGTAGAGACTGCACTAGCCAAGTGCCGTGAGTCAGGCTGTACTGAGTGCTTTACGTATATTAACTTACGTAAACCTCCCAACAACCCTAGAGGTAGATACTACAGGTCTACAGTCTCTGTGGATTTACAGAACCCAAAAAACTCTGAAACCAAAAGATGATTTATAACTACTCATTTAGCACCAAAACCAAATCTCAGTGGAGACAGGCTATTTTATAATTTCTATCCAATTTATTGTCATTACTTATACCTTTCAGTGCAAAAATATTAATGTATTTGATGCCATATTACCTTCCTAGAATCTGAAATATTTGACTTCTGAAAGATAACTGGCCCCAAGAATTTTAGAACAGGGACTAGACCTGTGTTATATACCTTTACTATACAGATGAGGAAACTGAAATATAGAGTGATTTAGTAACCTGCCCAGAGTCACTCAGCTAACTAGAACTAAGGCTAATCAAGGAACCCAAGCAGTCTGGATGTAGAGGGTTATGAAACCACTGTGCTATAACGTCTCTCAATGCAAATACAAAGCACGACTACTAGGCTCCAAAAAAGGACTTTTAGGTGCTATAAGAAAAATCAAGGGTGGCTATTCTGAGGTCAGACTCCTTGTCCCATAGTCCCGTCCCACTCTGACCCTCCCCATGTCTGTACAGGGAGAGAAGATCCATGAAGACATTTTTGACATCATAGACCGGGAGGCAGATGGCAGTGACAGTCTAGAGGTGAGCGTCTCGGGAATGCTGATGGGAGCCGACAAGGGGAAGGCTCGGCAACGCCCTTTAGAAGCCACATGTTTGGTACGAGACCCTCCCACGTATCCTTTGCACTGGACAGCAGCCATGGGGCCTTGCTGGAAACAAAGCAGAGTCTCCCAAGCTGTATGTGTTGGGGGAGGGAAGTAGAGGAGAGGGCCCAGGAAGATAGGGTCCAAGAAATTATGAAATGGGTCCAGTTTGAAATGCTGCCACTGATACCTAGACACTGACTGCCCCTTCCCCACACAGGGCTTTGTGCTGTGTCACTCCATCGCTGGGGGAACAGGCTCTGGCCTGGGCTCCTACCTCTTAGAACGGCTCAATGACAGGTCAGTCTGTGTTTTAAGAGTCTGGGAGGACTTGGTTTCCCAGGTGACTGGGAGGCCCTCCAGATAAACCTTCCTATTCACTGGAGCAGGAAAGGGGCCCTTGTTTTCTCTCTTGTATTGAGGAAAGACAAGGTACAATAATCAAGAACCTGATCCTACTCCCAGTGGTTGGAACCAGAGTCTAGCATCTAGTCTTTAGATGCAGATTCAAGGAGTATGGCCTGTTTAGAGTTAGAACCCTAGATCCTAAGATGTCTCTGCCCTTCCCCTGCTTTGGGGAGTCAAGTCTCCATTCTCTGCTGTTCTGTGACCCATCCCCAATTTCCCTACCCTGATTTAGCTGCTTTCTGACAGTTGTTGGGAGCCCCAAGATTACCAAGCCTCCAGTCTGTTGCTCTTGCCCATCCTCTCAAACTCCACTAGGTACCCCAAGAAGCTGGTGCAGACTTACTCAGTGTTTCCCAACCAGGATGAAATGAGTGATGTGGTAGTCCAGCCTTACAACTCACTGCTCACACTCAAGAGGCTGACTCAGAACGCAGACTGTGTGGTGAGTCCTGGAGTCTACCTTTCTCCATGCCCCAACCCAATGTCTGTTTCATCATTTTCACTTATTTTTAAAAGTCCTTTTTGAATCCTCCCGTGCAAGTCCCTTTTGGATGGGTCTTTGGCCATGAAGCACCAAGGAAATTAAGCTTCAGAGCACAGACTCAGGCAGAGCTCTTGTTCCTTCTGTCCCCATAAATTTGTCACCCACTTCTGTCCCCCCAGGTGGTGCTGGACAACACAGCCCTGAACCGGATCGCTACAGACCGCCTGCACATCCAGAACCCATCCTTCTCCCAGATCAACCAACTGGTGAGCCCCCACTCCTGGACTCATTTGGACTGGAACCCCTCCTTGCCAGAGCACCA